CTAAAACCTTACTTAAGCTCAGCAAAATATTTCACTTATGCCAAGTAGGTTTGTGATCTATCAAACATGGAGTACGCACAGCTGCACGCAATCGCCGCTTCATAAATCGGAGACTAACGAGAATGTTTCTCAGCTGCATTTCAGTCGCTTCCCACCCTCACCACACCCACTTACTGCCATAAATAGTCAATGCAAAGTGCCTTGTGGATCTCATGCATATACATAAGCCGGCTGTTGCAGCGCTCTGCCAATAACATGGCGACCGTAGTTCAAGGCAGATTGAGGAAGCGCAATTTCACAGAAGCAGAAATTGAGGTACCTGGGGGTGAAGTGGAGAAATGAAAGGAAGTGCTTTTGCAAAACCCTCTTGATCTAAAACGGTAGCGCGACTCGTGTTGCAAATGACCAGTCACCAATTCTTGTATGTCTGATCTCAGAATTGTGTGTACTGAAACAATTGACTTTCCCTCCGGGATTAATAAAGTATTTTTGAATCTGAAAACAAATACGAGAAAATCCACGGAGTGGCACAGCATTGCTGAAGCTGTCAATGTTGTGAATTCTTCAGAGAGATCTGTGGCAGATATAAAAAAATGGTCCAATCGGGATTCAATCCCCAGACCCCCGGGTGAAAGTCATGCAAGCTAACCAGTCAGCCAAACAAAGATCTTCCCTGACCAAGTAGCCAGGAAGCATAATAAATCGGGTCATAATCACAGGACACACACACTGTCACAGACGCATGACATTCTGTCTCAATCTGTCCCTATGCTGATATTCTGCATTCCGTATTCTGCGCTTCAGGCTGTGTGTGTCTGTGTGTGTGTGTGTGCGTGCGTGTGTGAGTGTGCGTGCATGTTTGTGTACGCGTCATGGTGAAGAGGGAGCTGAGCCAGAAAGCCAGGCTCTCGATTTACCGGTCGATCTACGTCCCAATCCTCACCTATGGTCATGAGCTTTTGGTAATGACCGAAAGAACAAGATCGCGGACACAAGCGGCCGAAATGAGTTTCCTCCATAGGGTGGCTGGGCTCAGCCTTAGAGATAGGGTGAGGAGCTCGGACATTCGGGAGGGACTTGGAGTAGAACCGCTGCTCCTCCGGATCGAAAGGAGCCAGTTGAGGTGGTTTGGGCATCTGGTCAGGATGCCTCCTGGACGCCTCCCCGGGGAGGTGTTTCGGGCATGTCCTGCCAGCAGGAGGCCCCCGGGTCGACCCAGAACACGTTGGAGAGGTTACATCTGGTCCGGGAACGCCTTGGGGTTCTGCCGGAGGAGCTGGTGGAGAAGGCCGGGGAGAGGATGGTCTGGAGCTCCCTAGTTGGGATGCTGCCCCCGCGATCCGGACCCGGATAAGCGGAGAAAGACAACGACAACGAAATAATCATGGTTCATTATAAATGTTTTTAATTACAGAAATGATTTATTATTCTTTGGGTTAATAATAATTATTATTTATGATAATCAGTAATGTTTGAACAGTAACCAAAAGGTCATTGGCACGTGTACACCTCATGCAGAACTGAATCCAGAGTAAAGGTAACCACCTCACATGTCTTTGCTCCATAACAACAAGCTTTCTGATGCTGAGAGGGCGTGTTCTGAGGTTTTGTTAAAACCAAAATCTCCGCAGCTCAAGTCCAGTTCTTGAACCAAGCAGATACTCTCGTGGCGAGGAGAGTACCAGAGGACGAGGGTTGGCCGCCTGATGCCTCCACTACGCTGTTCTGTCATGCCAATAGATTTGCTCAGAATAAACGCACCTGTAACCAGCTGACGCAAAACTCCTTCAGAATTATTGATTTTGAGACGCAAATAGTTTCATCAGTCGTTGTGACCCGGAGACATCTAATGACCGATTTGAGTCACACTAAGGTCCTTCTACCAACCTCGTGCTCGGAGGAAACCATCTCCACCTGACATCTCGGATCCACAGAGGGTCTCCTGAACTGGGTTTGGTAGACACTTTCCGACAGATGGCGTCTGTATGCTCTTCTCTCTAAGAAACAATTCAGTTAGCTGCAAAAACAATGTTTTCACCCGGAACGCGTTTCTCTCTCTGAAAGAAATCTTCTGAGATTCACCCACGCATCCAAACCTCGCATTTCATTTGAGTTTTCCATCCAGACACAGGTTTGTTTTTAATACCAAGTTTAATATCAAAGCTGTTACAAATTGTCAGTTACAAATTGTCATTTCAGTTGTCACCTTTAAAAATTGTTAGTAATAAATTCTTAACTTTTTAAACCTGACTCTTCATTGAAATGAAACACAGAAAGGTGTATATTTGGTTATTGAATAAGCAAAGAAACCATTAAGTCTTCTGTTTAATAAATAAACTTTTGCTATTAAATTTAATTATCTTAAATAAAAAATTAACCTTTGGATTAAAATATAGACCAAGACAGTTGGTGTATGACCTTCTATCGAGTGTTTACATATCATAGATATTTATGCATGATATAGGTTCATGTGCCTGATCTTTTCTCATGATCTAACCAAGCTGATAGCAAACAGTGTTAAATCCTAGTGTGTAGATTGCCCACGCTACAATTATAAAAACGTTATTCAGTTAACGACACCTTTAAAGGATGTCCACAGGAGGATACACACATCTTTTAATAAAATGCACTTTGACCAACTTTGAACTAAAAATTCTCTTCTCTTGGAATCTACGTTCTTATTATATGCAAAAGCTCAAGTGTACATACACACTAAAAACTTTTTTTTTGCAATAAACTACATGCAATCGTTTTACTTTCAGATGCCAGCAGCATTTTACTTATTCAGTGCTTTTTCATTTTTTACTATTAGCACCAGCACCTTGAAGTAGCCTTTTTTTAAAATAATTTTGTGCCTGCAGCATGTTCTGTTGTTGCACATTAACAATAAAGGTTTTTTAAATTAATTCAATTAGAAAAGGTAGATTTTATTACCACGCTGCTTTACTGGAACAAAATCAGATCATGGATCTGAGTAAAACTACTCCCGCTTCCATCTCGTCACACAGTGAACCATTTCAGCTCCTGCAGTAAAAGCCTTCCTCCAAAACTCATCACACTAACATGAAGAGGTGTCATTCATGTGAGTTTTAGTTAATTAAAATCAGGGATAAGGCATAGAACCATGGATGTTTGGCTGATTTAGCCTCTCACCTCTTTCAGCTGTCTGTCACAACTCTGCAGGGACTACTATATCTCCTCATTGCTTTAAATTGGATGTGAAAACCTCCCCAAAGTAATCTTTTCTTACACATATATTTCATAACGTTTACATGGATTAGGTGTCTGACTTATAATAGCGAGAAGCCCAGTGGGTGGCTGCAAGGACGAATAAAAGGAGGACAAAGATGTGGATGACCTGTAGCGCCTGGAGGAAAATCTAATAATACATTTTGGAAGGACTTAAATGAAACCGGAAGGAAAAAATAAGACAAAAACACACAGCCGATGCTTACAATCATACAAATATATGTTATTTTATTGAGTAAATATTCCAGAATAAGACATCTCCCTTGAATTCATGTAAGGGTTGTCGTAGAAATGTACACAGACATGGCGAGAGGGTGGATTGAGGGCTTGTCTCGGCTGATACTGACAGGGACTCATTCTTAAAGAGCCAAAGTATGCATGCTTTTTAAAAAAAAAGTCACTTTGGACCATTTGTCCTTATTATTGCAGACCACTGATTTGCAGAAAGCCTTGTGGGTGTATTTGGTCTCCTTGAGTGCGGGCTGGTAGATCTCGTTGCATATTGCTGGTCTTTACTGCTTCTCTTCCACAAAACAAAAACCCAGAACCTCAGGATCATACTGAATCTTTGGGCTCTTATCACGAGGAGTCCAGCATAAACACTCAGGAGGCATCGGAGGAGTCAAACCCCTCGCTCTGTGGCTATCTACAGCCAAGGCCCGTTTTCCAGTTATGGCTTTTATTTTACTTTATTTCATTTTTGTTGCTGTTTCTTTAAATGAAAGTGTCGTTATTTCTGGAAGACGAGAGGATTAGTTTGAGAAAAGGAAAAAAGGGAAAAGCCATTTCGGAAGACTTGCATAACCAAAACTGTGAGCTCACTGACTTGCTGCCTTTTGGAGATGTTGTTCCTCTGCTGTTTCTCTTCCTGCACTTGATTGCATCTTTCTGATTGGAAACAACTCAGCTGCACAGTGAAATTTATACAATTGTGTTTACAAAGTGCTGACCCCCCCACCCCCCACTAAAATAAATAAGTAAAACACACACATAGGAGCAGCAGCTTCCTCTTCTGAGGGATTTGCAAGCAGGATTAATGACAAAGCATGAAATAAAAAACAAATACCACAGAACATCAGACACGTGTATACAGAGCTACCGCCATAAGATAACGTGTAAACCATCCGGCTGCATGACAAATATTTTCCTCACTGCTCACCTGTTTTGTTTTATGGAAACATATAAAAAACAGAATTGTACATGGATTCTTCACATTCCTCTCACTGACTGTCAGATGTGTCAAACTCCAGCAGCAATAACATGTTATTCACACCGCTTCTGTGTTCTATTAAAGACAACGAAAAGAACAAAATGTTGCAGGAAAAGGTTTTTAAATCCCATAATTTTTTAGTTATCTTTTCATTTGAGTTTTATTAAAATCTGACTTTAGAAATTCTGCCACCGGTGTTACCAAATGTGTCCTCATGAAAGGTCAATTAAAGCCTCTAACCTCCAGAGGGCGCTCAGCATACATTCTTTTACACCGTTAATAAACAGCATGGTACACATGAAGTATTTTCCAATAGGACTAGGAGGCACAAATGCAGTGACGATGACTTAAATGTAATCATGATCAACAAACCTTCCTGCATTCTTTCAAATGAGTATAAATGAGAGGTGTTTAGCTCCAAACTGCTTCTCAACATAAATATTATTAAACATGTCTTGAATGACAGAAATGTTTAAGTTAAAATTCCCGACTTTTCTTGTTTATATGTGTTGAGAGTTTTATGTTGAAATATAACTTTAGATTCTTTTTTTTTTTTTTTTTTGCTGAGTCACTGACTTTGATTATTTCTACAAACTTTTTAAGTTTGCAGACTGAAGGAGGGGATTTTTGATGTCAGCTTGAACGTTTTTGGTCCACTTTGCTCTTTTCTTGACATTTTGTCTCCTTTATGTGGTGGCTGCTCATATTCTATTTGGTCCTATTGATTATTATTTCAGTCTTATGCCCTTTTTTTCTGTTACTAACATAATCACACATTCACACAAAGGCTTTAAAAAGACACAATACTCCCACACAGGCACCATCATGTTGAAGAGAAACTTAATGGACTGTGGACTGAGTGGTTCAGGAGGTCTGTTTAGCAGAGGGATGAAGACGTTAAAGCTCCTAATGTGTGTGCACCAACCTATAGTGGTCTTGTCTTTGTAACAACACCGTTATCCTCATAAAACCTCGTTTCCACGACGACCTCCAACAAAAACACTTTCTCATTCCTTCTAACTACAATAACAAAGATCTACTTTATTCTTCAGCAGATTTTCCTTCATCTCATGAAGCAGCAGCATACATTCCTGTTGCATTCTTTGTTTGCTTCCTGCTAATTTCAGACAACTTTCTCTCTCCTCTACTTACAATGTGACCAACTGGACCATATTGCAGCGTTCTTCACTTTCACTGGGCTACGAAACCCAGTAGAGGGATTGGGAAGTTTCTGAAGTTTCATTTGATCATGTGAAAATGTGAAAATAAAAAAATAGGAAATACTTTCACCTAAACAACCCACTATGGTTAGTTTTTTTATGAGAAGCAACCAGCCACATAGTATATAGAATAACCACTATAACCAGCTTACAGAGGCTGCCATGTTATTTTACTTAGAACCAATGCCTTCAAATATTTTGTGTTGATGTGTATAGTCTATTGTTTCAATTATTGTTTTAACTTTTGAAATAATAAGTAAGTAAATAAATAAATAAATAAATAAATAAATAAATGAATAATTAAATAAATAAATCTACTCTATAAGTCACGAGGTGTTCTTATTCAGATCAGAACTAAGGGGCTTGTAGGTGGCTTCAGCTACCTGATGTCTGGAGGCTTTGATAACATACAGTAAAAATCAAAATCCTCACAGAACAGGGACACAACATTTCTGTAGCTCCTATGCAGGATTAAGAGTCCAAATATCATGTTCCCTTCAGAAAAACCCAGAAAATGAAGAAAAAAAAAGCCCTTCGACTAATTTCCTCCAAAGGCCCCTTGTCATAAATAGCGGCTCACTCTTTGTCTCACATTCATTATCATTTCAACGTGCCGCATGCAACGCTGCCAAACCTCTTCTTCTTATTTCAGCTGCATGAATTCCTCATCGGCATTCCTTCAAGAATACACCTGCTAATCCCTCTCACTTCTCAAATAACCACCTCCGTGTGATGACCTCTTTTACAGTGTCACTCCACGTGTCAGACTTGCTTTCCACCCTCAACGCAACGCATTCAAAGAGCCTCTTTTTCACTTTTCATAACCCTCGGTCACATTCCGTTACCATTTCTATCGGGCAACATCTCCCCGGGCTTCCTTCTCCCAAAAGAAGCACGTACCGCTGTCAGTGTGTGTTGGTGGTATCCGTGCACTTTGAGGAAACATAGCGGTGACACATCTTTTCTGTCAGCAACCAGAGCTGACGCACACTGACAAGTTCTGTTTTATAGACTCGGCTTCCTCCGGGTTTCATGCATGCAAAACAATCATTGACTGACTGCACAAAGGAATCATCAATTTAACGGAATACCTTCAAGCAGGAAGTGGCCCAGAAATCCTCTCCCATGCTATTTTAAACTGTACATGGGGGCTAAAAGTCAGAGGAAATGGCTGACGAGATGGATGAAGCATCACTTACTCACAGACATATCAAAGACATAATGCTGTGCTCGGAGTGAAGGACACAGAAGAGATTACCTCCCCCCACCCCCCTGTGCAAACACACACACACGCACACACGCACACATGCACGCATGCACACACACACACACACACACACACACACACACACACACACACACACACACACACACACACACACACACACACACACACACACACTCAGTTCATTCACACGCATTCTCTCATCGGTGTTAAAGCAGAAACACACACAAGACATTCACTCAGACAAGTCCGTTTTTGAGGGCAATTCTTCCAAGGTGATTAGATATAGCAATGGAGTGGATAAGCTGCCTGACATGCTCGGAATAACAAGTGCTGCAGCTCGAAGGCTTTCATGTTGGGCTTCAAACACCAGTGCTGACTGGTCTTTTTAGATGTCTAAACTTAAATCAGCATTGGACTTAACACAATGTTGCAGCTTAGAGTTTATGCAGCAACTGCACATTTTAGAGATCATATTGGATATAAACTCTTATTTTTGAGTTTTATTTTAGATTTACTAAATCAGTTTAATGGCTGTTTTCTCATTAAAATGTGTTTTATTGTTCTGCTTCTTCTCACGGACGGCCTACCGCTGGTGGAACCCGACTAAGACTTTCTGATCTGAGCGGTTTCATAGCGTTGAGTTTCTGTTGACCCTGCTGATTTGTTTAGCTGTAGAGAAGATGGTGGGTGGAGGGCGGGCTGAGCCACGCTGTCACCACCTCCGAGCCCAGGAGGAACCTGTGGGTGAGGATTATGATGCTGAGTCAGGAGCGTTGCATGAATATGTGATGAGTAAAGTAGAGCAAACACTGGATAGGAATGAGAGAAGACAACGAAGCTTGAGCTTGGCAGGAAATCGAGGAGACCTGTATATTATGGGTTACAGGAGGGGCGAGGAGAAAGACTAACAAATAGGAAGCAGGTTTAGGGAGGGAGGGGGTTCCCTGGGCTTTTGTTCTGTGTTTTCAGGTGAGGAATGCGGGGGAGGGGGACTCCTCTCTCGGCCTTCTGGGCGGCTGATGGTCTGCTGGCTCTTTAACCCTCACCATCTCCTAATGCACTTCCGTAACGTGGTGGTGAGTGAAAGCTGTTCCTGCAGCCACCCTTGGTGCATTATGGGCAACTGAGTTTCCTAGTGTCATTTCTGCCCTCCGTCCCACCCTCAGACTCCTGTGCTAGGAGGCATCAGCCTTGGGAGATTCTCTCCGTCCATTCTTGGTTGGAGAATCCGAAGTCTTCGCTGTCTTCCGAGGAGGGCTCACCGGCTCGCTGGCCAGTTCGTGTAGCGAAGGCTCCTTATACATCGCAACTACAAAACAGAGAAGACCCTGATGTAACAACAACAAGGGGTGATTTTCAGCAGCAATGTCATGTGTGTAAGTGACAAATGAAGCACAAACCTTCTATAACTTTAGGCAGAAAATGGGCAGCTGGCTTGGTCTTCTTCACTCGGTTGCTCTTCATGATCTGACCATCGCGGTTGATACCGATGTACCAGGAGCGTCCAGACTGGGTCTGACGGTACAGCATGGACGAGTACGTAACATAGTAGTTCTCAAACACACTCTCTTTGAATTTACACTCAGGAGTGAAGTGCTCCTGAAAAGAAGTAAAAGGAAAATTCACATTAGGAATTAAGTGTCTAAACTAGGTAGCTAGATGGGGTTGTAGAGTTGACATGACGCCAGTGTGGCCAATCCTGTTTCAAAATCTCAACTACAGTAATATGTCTGCTCAATGGTCAACAACCACTATCTTGCTATGGATGTTGCTAAAACCATTATGGACCTTCCAAGCTGTCATGCCCTAAAGGAAGTCAACTGTGTGCTTCTAAATACGCAAATAATAACGTCAAAAAGACCCCACGAAGTTCATCCATGGTCTGCTTGTTTGTTTGTTTTTTCTTGTCAAGGCAGGTCTTTCTTCCAGTGTCTAACATACATGAATTATTTAAAACCAAACAAGCAACTTAACTAAGAAACAAAGGCCTCAACATTTTTGAAGTTTTAATTCGGTCATTCCAGTTGGGAAACACGATACGCCACTGAGCTTCCAGTGCTGGCAGGCACAGTCATTCACCCATTCATACACACATGGGGGTGGGGGGTGGGGGAGTTCTTGACAATTAAATATTGTGCCCACATTTTCAAGTTAACACACATTTCTTTCAACAATGGTAGTTTTTGCATCATTACTGATCCCCTGCTTCATCCCTCCTCTCCTTGCGCAACTGCCGCAAACTCTCTGGTGTTCCTGCGGACCCTCAGAGTTTCTGCTGATCCAAACATTAATTATTTCATTTTCTGTTCCTCTCTTCTGATTACCTTCAGTGGTGTCTGTTGCAACCACCAGGTACAAAAACTAACTTGTTTTTATTTGACTATTTTTTAGTCCTGTCTCTGTTTATTATCTTCCAGTATCTCCTCTCAATCCTAAAGAAAAACTGCTACCTGGTAACACCTCATGAGTTACCTTTGAACTGCCGTTCACAAAGATCTACCGACCACAAAAATAGCAGAGTGCACGCTGCGCGCCGGCCGCACCGGTGAGGTGAAATGACCAGAGGACAAAACAGGTGATGTGCTTTGCTCCACAGCAGCGAAACGCATCAGACACAAATAAATGACAGAAATCATAAAAGGAAATGAGCCGATAAACGATCGTGTGTTAAATTTGTTTTCGAGGTCCGCAGCCGAGTGTGAAGCAGCTGGGATGAGAATCAGCTCCTCTAAATCTGAGATTTGATTTGGAAAAGGGTAGAATGCCTTCTCAAGGTCAGGGATGAGGTCCTGCCTCAAGTGGAGGAGTTTAAGTATCTCGGGGTCTTGTTCACGAGTGAGGGAAAACTGGAGCGTGAGATCAATAGGCGGATTGGTGCTGCATCTGCAGCGATGTGGACGTTGTGCCAGTCTGTCGTGGTGAAGAGAGAGCTGAGTCAGAAGGCGAAGCTCTCGATTTACCGGCCTATCCACGTTCCTACCCTCACCTATGGTCATGAGCTTTGGGTAATGACCAAAAGAACGAGATCGTGTATACAAGCGGCCGAAATGAGTTTTCTCCGAAGAGTGGCTGGGCTCTCCCTTAGAGATAGGGTGAGAAGCTCGGTCATTCGGGAGGGGCTCGGAGTAGACCCGCTGCTCCTCCACATCGAGAGGAGCCAGTTGAGGTGGCTCGGGCATCTTGTCAGGATGCCTTCTGGACGCCTTCCTGGTGAGGTTTTCCGGGCACGTCCAACCGGGAGGAGACCTAAAGGTAGACCCAGGACAAGGTGGAGGGACTATGTCTCTCACCTGGCCAGGGAACCCCTTGGGATTCCCCCAGAGGAGCTGGGCCAAGTGGCTGGGGAGAGGGAAGTCTGGGCCTCTCACCTTAGGCTACTGCCACCGCGACCTGACTCCGGATAAGCGGATGAAAATGGATAGATGGATGGATGGTGTGAACCGACTGGAATATGAACTCAAAATCTCCCAGTCCAAGGGTGGACACTATTACTAGGCCACTGAAAAGGTCAAACACTCTTTGTTATTCCATTTAAATACATGAATAAACATTACGTAACCAAAGCAACCACATTGCTTGTTTATTCAAATTAAAAATAATATTGACTTAAACAGTGAGTTTATTTTTGATCTCATGGCCTGTGTGTGTGTGTGTGTGTGTGTGTGTGTGTTTCATTCCCGTGACTGGCAGGAATCATTTTAGCCAACTCTGAGTTTTTCATTTGTCATACTCAAATAAAGATAAGAAAAAACACCTCTCCCTCCTTTTAATTTTTGCTTTCTTTTTGTTTAGCCAAGTTCTGATGTCCATTATCGCGGTCTTGTTTACAGTCTCCAAGCGTTCCATATCATAGCCTACAGCACCCTCTTCTGGCTCTCTTTGGTTTTTACATAGCATGGTTGCAACTTTATTTACACTGACATAATTGGTCTTGGATGGGCCAGATACCAGACCATTAGATGGTTATACCAGGAAAGCAACACCCCAAGAAGACTTGTTCTTTCAAAGTTCCACCATAAATATTTACACAACAATACCACCGCAACACTAAAAAAGCAATTACCTTTCAGAATAAGATTTATTACATAGAAATACAGTGTAATTTACTATGTAATTATCGTGTTAATACATGTAAATACTTAGTAATTACGGGACTGTAAAAGAAAGTGTTACCCAACTGTTGTGAACAATCCTGTTGCAGCCTGCTAACTAACAATAACACAATAATACAAGCCAACTGGTACTCAACCAGCCACCAAGTAAAAAGATCCACACTGTTAGACAAGTTGAGTAGCAACAAAGCCAGGTCACCATCAGTCCATAATTTTATAGCCTTGTTTAGCTTTACATTTTTTAAACACATGATTGTGCCTCAAACAAAAAAAGAATCTCTACTCTGGACTTAAAAAAATGATTCATTGATTTTTGCAGCTCATTCCAGTTGTTGGAAGCAGCAAACTGGAATGAGAAGCAGCCAAAGGAGGTCACACCAGACTAGTTAGTAATTCTAATCAGACTTTCCAGTGATGTACAACAACAGTTGGTGTTATTAAAAAGGAAAAAAAAATTTTTCTGTCTTTTCTTTAAGAAAGTAGAACTTGTACGTTTTAATATTTACTCATGTTTACTCTTTCCAAATAACCAACATTATAATTTAGTTACAAAAGCCGTTGCCAATTCATTTAACTGATGGGGCTAAGGTATGTCTTTCATTTGCCTCAGATGGGATTGTATCTTTATTTTCATGACACGTTGGACCAAAGCCTAAAACAATGGAGGTTAAAATAAAAGGCTCACACTGAAGAACTTAAAAAAACAGCTTAAGCTCAGTCTTGTGACTTGTGGCTTGGCATTTGAAATAAAAAACGGAGACAGCATGCACACTCTTTGGATTGCATCATCATTGCCACCAATCTAAAGCCATCACCTTGTAGAAACTCAAAACTAATTAAGCTTTCTTTGTGTGTGTGTGTGTGTGTGTGTGTGTGTGTGTGTGTGTGTGTGTGTGTGTGTGTGTGTGTGTGTGTATGTGTGTGTGTGTATGTGTGTGTGTGTGTGTGTGTGTGTGTGTGTGTGTGTATGTGTGTGTGTGTATGTGTGTGTGTGTGTGTGTGTGTGTGTGTGTGTGTGTGTGTGTGTGTGTGTGTGTGTTTGGTTAGCCTTAAGTGGGAAAATAAAATCAAATGACCAGAACTTGGATCAAATCCAGCAGTTAGTCCAATCATTGTAACAGATCATGATCCTGCAGCACATCCCCTCCCACTCTGTCCTCAACATAAAGATTACTGAACCCTGCATAATGTTGACTGGTGATTTTAACAACTAAAGACAGACATACATCTCTCTTAGCCACCATCAGCCTCTGGACAGGGTCCTTCCCACGTCAGAAAGCAGAGACTTTCTGCTAGATTCATAAAGTAAGAGCAACCGGGCAGAAACGGTTAAATTTAGAATTTTTTTAAGACTCCGGAAAACGAAAAGAACTAAAAGATCACCACCTAATATGGACAAGCTGTAATAAAGAGCCAAATGAGATTGAGAAGGTGTGGGAGTTTGGCCATCATCATTATTCTCCTTCACAGGGAGGCATCCCAAGTCTTATGACACTGTCTTTCAATCCAGGTGATGCCCATTCCGCTTCTCACCTTTAACTCGAACACCCCCCCCCCCCCCCCATTACCCTCCAATTACAGAGCTATTTTAAGGTCCACTGACAGGTTTGGTATCTTCTGCTGTGCTAACACAGAGGATGGGATCGATAGATGATCCGCTTCATTCATTATTAATCTGGCCCAGAGAGAAAGAGAGTTGGGAAGAAAGAGAGCCAGAGGGGGTAAGGTACACGAGGCAGGAATGGGAGCAGAAGATCACTTGGAGGAGACAGAAGGAGGATGGTAGGTGAGGAGACCTGCTTCCTTTCTCTAGACCAAAGTCTGAGAGTTGATCCGCTGACAAATTATTCACCAGAACATCAGAACTCTTGAAGCTCTGATAAAAGAAGTTGAGTTGAGACCAGTGATAAATCCTCTCCTAAAAGAAAGCCCTTCATTATCGCTTTGCTGAAACCAGCCAAATTATTCCAAGCCTCAAACCACCAGATCCACCTTCACACATGAAAAATAGCTTTGCACTTTTAAAAGATCAGGGTCAAAGGAGCATTTCCATGTCAATAATGGCGGCTTGATCCGTTTCCTGTGCCTCAAGTAAAAACTGGGCCTCAATGACAGCAGATGAGAAAGGTAATATGTAGTTTCCGTGTTGAGAATCGCTAAGAAGGGAAAAACCTTTTTATGATGCGGCGTATCATCCCGACCCGCCCTGCACTCACACACACACAGCACCATCCATTTTTATCCCTTGTGTCTGATTACATCTAGTCTGGTTAAAGAAGCTTTCCTCTACGCTGAGACTATACCACCAAACAAAGTCAGCGAGGTGCTAATGATGAATTTATCAGGGCAGAGGTCCCTAAATCTTCCCCTAATTAATGAACAGGAATTAAAGCTGTGATAGTGAGTAATGTTCTATATCTTGTTTACTTTCGTTTTGTTTTGCAGCAGGAAATCAGAGCAAATGCACCTCAAAATGTGAGCTCTGCTTCTGGAATTTCAACCATGTTTCCAGGACTGTGCACATTATTTGCAGTGCCCCCATGTAGACAGCAGGGGTCACAGGATTTCTGCATCTGCTGACCGTCCCACCAGCTCCTTGACTGATCTGCTGCAGTACTACCACCACAATCCTATTGCATTACCACTGCGGCGACCTCCTTGCACGGAGAGTTCATTCACATCACATCTCTGTTACGTGCAATCTAGGTTTGTGTGAGAGTTTTCGGGGAAGGGAGCCGGGCATGTTGTTAATGTTGCCGTTGAGTGAGATGTAGATGCACAATGGCACGCCACGTTACATAAGCCACTGGGGCAGAGATGTGCTTGTTAGGAGGAGTTTACAGACTATGAGACTGGGAGTTAATACCGTCTAGCAGGACACATGTACAGTCTGTCCTCTGTGCTCCATTCAAACGAATTATGACAAGAGCCGAGTGGATGATGATGTGCAGGGACTTATTACTCGGCAGCGTTGAGTGATATCTGAAATCCCCCTATCAATACACTGCCAGTCAGAGCTGACATTCCTGCTGCCTCCCAAAGCATTCATCCACTTCACATTTTCTAGGACATACAGTAAATGATAGTGGCTATTTCCATATCATTAGCTATTTCTCATTCCTGCAAATTTGCAATTCCAGAAATCCCTGCAGCAGTTTGGAAAGAGAGCTCCGACACGAGATAAATCCTGAATCTATCAGAAAGAACAGGTTTTGCCCTTCCTGCGCTCTCCTAATTGGCTGCCCTGTATAATGCCTTTCTTTATCCTAACAGATCTGCACCGTGTCTCTTTTGTCTTGTCTGGGCCAATTATTGTCTCTGCTCCTTTTGTCTAGTGTCAACATTTTCTCCTGATCTGTGACTAAAGTGATGCTTTCCAACAGCTGGTGATGTCATGCCTCTCAATGTAATCCTCCCATAAAAAGCACAGAAAGGAGAGGACATGTGTCATCAATACCTCTCATGTCCTTCCGCGTTTGTCATTCCTCTCTCCCTGAACAGATGATTCACATTAAGTAGATGTTTTTCAAAAGTGCTTTTAGCATTCTAATAACTCCTTGCTGTCAGCTGTGCTTCATTTCATCATCACATTCCCTCAGTGTAAAAATGTCACATATCCTTCCTGCCATCAAGTCTTCTTTTGCAAATTGGATCACCTTAATTGTAAAATTGGTATTAAAAAAAAGTTTGGTTCTGATTGATTTTTGTCACTCTGGCCAACACTTCTGAAGGCAGCACATAGCTGTTTTACTGCAACAAAACATTATTATCCAAGGTCGTCCAGTGCATTGTGATGATTCATATCTAAAAGCTAACATAAGCATGGTTTAGTGTTGATGCACAAAGAGCCCTAACATGCCACCTGAACTCCTTCCTACGCCTACACATCAGTACATCAGTGGCACCGTAGAGAATAGGCTCCCATCATTAAATCAAATGCATAATAACACACAAGAAGACCGCTGCTCTATTGCATGCTGGCTTTAAACTTGGTGTTGTAACTCTGTGTGCAAGTCTGTAAGGGAAATTCTCTGAAGGAGGTCAGTGTGAGACACAGAGGAAGCTGCTGACTCTTTCTGAGGAAATCCCTTCTCCTCTCTGTTATCAGGAGAAAAAGACCAAACCTGAGCGAGTACTCAGAACACGATGGGAGTTTTTAATGTCGACATTTCATAAATCAACATTTAACTTTCACACACTCTCTTCCCGTTGCTGGGGTTGAACGGTTTTGTGTTAGTCATTTACGATCAGTGGAGGATTCGTTCTCCTCTGAATGGTCATAACACTGCAAGCTTAATTGACTTAAAGGTGCATTATGTCGCTTACGACGTAGATTTAGAAAATTGGGCTCTACTTCATCTGCCCTTGTGACCCTGTTGGAGAGACCTTGCAATGACAGAGTGTTGTGTTTCTCTGTACAGATGGAGAATTATAAACTAGCCTTTAGGAGGCACATAAAATAAATTCTGGGTTGTTTCTATTATCGGCTTAGCATCTTTACAAATCACTGCTGCTTTTTGCTGGCCAGTGTCAAAGTACTTATGCCCAAGCTGCAGCATTTTCTAGCAGCGCAAACTCATCAGCCACACAAACTAACAGAATGTAAACAAACACTACATCCCTCTTTAGCTTTTGACCGAAAAAACTGATAGCCCCCATCCAGCTGAGAAAGAAATCTTGTTTCGGTGTAACCTTACTTCCAACAGAGACTGTTTTGGGATTTTTTACCTTACCTTTAAATTTCATAGATTTCAGTGGAAATCTGTCACATTACATAAATTATATGTAATAATAAATTTTATAAACTTTTATAAATTTATAAATTTTATATATTATTTTTGGCCAGAATACATGTATTTTATGGAGCTGCTATAGATAATAACATTAAAAAACCTCTGTGGACTCAAGCTTTTGACCCAAGTAAAACTGAAAATGTATGTGTTTCAAAACTACTTAAAAGTAAAAGAAATTTAAGCTGAAAAAAATAGACCTCACTAAATGTGTTGTTGACTGAAAAACCATTTCTTTAATTTTTTTCTGAATATAATTGATCACTCTGAGTTTAACATGCAGGCTGAACATGAAAATAGTCTCCCACACCTCGACTAGTTTAAGGTAACCATTAGCATTAGCAACACCACCACACAGCAGAAGCTCCTCCAGGCTTGTGTTATTTGTGGAGACATTGCAACATGTCAAGTCAGTGTTAGAGTTGCGTTGCTGTTATCCAATCTGAAGCAAGTCTTGGGGTAAAGCTAGATGCTGAACTGTCAATGGCCCCACAGTTTAACTCAGTAGTGAGGTCCTGTTTTTACCAGCTTTGCTGCCTTACTCGCCTCAGACCAATCTCGAAGCGGAGGCATTTGGAGTCAGTCATCCATGCTTTCATTACATCTCACCTGGACTATGCAAACACCCTCCTAGTTGGTGCTCCGGTCTCTGCCCTGAATCGGCTGCAGGTCGTCCAGAATGCTGCTGCCAGGTTCTTGACAAATATGCACCGACGTAGCCATATTACTCCTGTCCTGGATGTCTTCACTGGCTCCCTTCACTGGCTCCCTGTCATTTTCTGAGTACAGTTTAAGCTATTGACTATTGTCTTTAAAGCGCTCAATGACTTTGCACCTCTCAATCTCTGACCTGCTAACTCCTTATGTACCCACGATCACGTTGAGGTCGATTGACCTCATGCAGCTTTGCACTCCCCGTATGCATTACAAATCACGGGTTGAACGAGCATTTGTACATGTTGCCCCAAAGCTGTGGAACTCTCGACCTATTATAGTTCGACAGGCTCCATCGTTGTTGGTTTTAAAATCTCGTTTAAAGACCCACTTTTACGATTTGGCTTTTAGTCCGTGACTTGTTTTAGTGTTTTATTGTGTTCTTAGCATTCCTCATTTTTTATTTGCTTTTATTGATTGGTGTTTTTATTTTCTGTTTTTATTGCTTTGTTTGGCCGTATTTCGTCCAGCCTGTGCAGCACTTTGGGCAGCTCCCATGCTGCGTTTTAAATGTGCTATATAAAGAAACTATGGTATGGTATGGAGATGTCCAAATATCAGAAAAAAAGACTTACAAGGCATTCATTCCTACTAGAGACCACTGCAAAAGTGTTGATTAAGTACAAAAGCATGATGTTGATTAAATGAGTTTTCCACACCTTTAAGTACAAAAGCATAAGCCACACCTCATTAAAGACCATAACGACTGTAATCTTTTATAAAAGAATATTGTTGGCAAATTTGGGATAAATTAGGTAACCTGTTTTAGCCACAGCTGGAAATGAATGCATTTTAGTGCAATGCAAATGCATTAAAAATCATATGTGGTTGATACAAACCAATAGGCCCGATGCCCACACAGTAAAAACAATGCAAATGATGACTTTTGTCATCATTGGCAGTGAATGAGTTAAACTAAAAGCTGAAATGCCTCCTCAGCCTTCATTAGTGTCTACAGGATTGATTCATCACTAAATTAAACAAGTCAGCTGTGTTTAGGATCTAAACATGCAGGAAATGTGCTGGAAGCAGACTGCAGCACCAGGTATGTCAGCTCATCTGGACCGGCACTATGAAGTTGCAAGTGCGAAGGCGGTGGGGGTTTGGGTGGGCTTTCATTAACCCTGTAAAGGGTAATTTTAGCACATATTGGCTCAAGAAAATGATTTAAAAATCTGCAGAATGGACTTACCGAGGTATAGAGGTATCCCTCACTGTTCATAGCGAGGTACAGCCCTGTTTTTGTCCCTTGAATGGCCACAATCCGCAGTCCCACCGGAATTAAGTTGAACTGTGCTGAATCCAGAAATAAAGTCAAAGAAAACCAGCATGACAAAGGGAGAAGGAGGAAATAAAATGAAGTCAGGTGACTGTGAGATGACACTGAACACATTCTGTCTTCAGCCTGAATGACTCCAGTATCACTGCTCCATGCTGTGACTTACATGAACCCTAAATTCAAACCTCTGAGTTCATGTTCATGGAATCGAACAGTTGAGTCACCTCTGTTGTGTTTTTCACAGCCTCTAAACATCAATGATAACTGAGATGTTCTGCTATTTCAACAGCATCTAACAGAAAAGGCAGTAAAAGTGGACATGGACAATATATGGGGTGATTAAACTGCTATCACACCAGTTATAAAACACCAAACAGTAAATGTTACTACAAAGGAACAAAAAATCCACTTCAAGGTCAGCTAGGCAAATGCAAAGAAAATTTACTGATACAACAGGAAGACCGCTTATTTCTCAGTCTGAAATGTTCTTTGCAAAAGGTCATGCTGAAGAGTGGTGTCATTTTGGCCATTTCTAAATGGTTTATAATGTTCAGTTAGAGAAATGCAGAGCTAATGAGAATCAACCTTCAATGGGACGATTTCAGGGTGAGAAAACACTAAATTGCCAAAGTTTGACAGCCACTTTGACTTGGTGTCTTTTTTCTCTTTAAATACCAAAATAACAGAACTAATTTGAACCAATTTGACAGGTTTTCTGATGAAATCCCAACTTTTTCCTTAATGCATAAGCCTCAGGGCTCCTATTGCGCAGCATGGCACTTGCTGTGGCTCTAGATCGATGCATACCATGCAGCATCAGCTCAGGCAAAGTTAGAGATTTGATTCTCAGCAACAACAAGCTGTTTTATTCAGATGATGGTGAGGTCTGTAGGTAAGTGAATTTAGTGAATGCAATTGGTTTCTGTTCTTCAAAGCCTAAACTACATTTTTTAACAGAAACATGCAGCCTCTATAAAAAAACAAACACTCACTAAATGCGTTGCTTTCTTCTTTCGTGCTTCCCAAAATGCCATCGGGCTGCATCTGCAGGTAGAATCCGTGTTGGCTGTACAGCCGGGTGACGATGCCTTTCAGCTGCGGCTCTGCGAGCAAACACAAAAACAGCACAGAATGTTACACATTACGTCCACATTTACCTAAAATGGGTCAAGTTGTTGCTTCGGATGATTTGATACATAATTATTGAGTGCAGAGATTTCAAATAAGCTAAGAATAAAGCAAAACACCTGGGATCTTCAGTGAAGGTAGCTCCTTGTTAGTGATTCCATTACAATCACAACTGTTGTCATCATCTTGGTTTTTGGGATGAAGTGTGACATCCATTGTGTGAACTGATTAATTAAATGACTAAACTTCTGTTAAAAAATTAGACGCAACAATCTTTATGCTATAGTGAATAATTCCCATCCAGTTGTTATTAGCACAGCTAAAGAATTAGCATAGCATGTGGCGTGTTGATGCTTCCTACTGCTGAACGGGCCTGATAGCATCTTATGTTACTGTCCAGGTGTTTTTGTTCAGTCTGTGAAAACAGTGTTAAAGCAGAATGTGAATTTAGCAAAACATGTCTCCCCCTAAAGAGGTCTTGGCTCTGAGCTGTTAAGCCAGCACTCACTGGGCTGCGACTTGTGTGCAGTGTGAGGAAGTTTCCAAAGTGGCAACAAATGTTTGAAGTGGTTCTTAATTGTGGAAGCAGCAGGAACTTGCTTTCATGCCCGAGCCACCTCAACTGCCTCCTCTCGATGTGGAGGAGCAGCGGGGCTACTCAAAGCCCCTCCTGGAAGACTGAGCTTCTCACCCTATCTCTAAGGGAGAGCCCAGCCACTCTGCGGAGAAAACTCATTTCTGCCGCTTGTACCCGTGATGTCATACTTTTGGTCACTACCCAAAGCTCGTGACCATAGATGAGGGTAGGAAAGTTGATCGATCAGTAAACTGAGAGCTTTGCCTTCCGGCTCAGGTCTCTGTTCACCACGACTGACCGGTATAACGTCCGCATCACTGCAGACGCAGCACCGATCTATTTATCAACCTCATGATCCATCTTTCTCTCACTCATGAACAAGACCCAGAAATACCTAAACTCCTCCATTTAAGGCAGGACCTCATCCCAGACCCAGCGAAGGCATTCTGCCCTTTTCCAACCATGGTCTTGGATTTGTTCAAAAACGTCTGAATTTCTTTACCTGCTTTATGGCTAATACGGTTTACTGTGCCAGTAGCTCATATAAAAGCTAGCAGTTTGTTTTTTCAGTTGTCGACCATTACTATAAAGCATAAGAAGAAGAGCAACTTTAATTTGTGTTGACAGCACCATGGTGGCGCCTGGAAGTGAAAGTAAGAGAGTAATGTCTATTGTGGTGAAGCAAAGAGCTAAAACCAGAGTAAAAATTAGCTCAGCCTATACTTGTTTGAGGAAGCTGAAGAAGGGTACAAAATCAATTGATGATGACCTGGCTTTGTTGCTACTGAACTTGAAAGTAATAATAGTTTTTGTCCAACAATGTGGATCTTTTAGCAAAAAGTCAAGCATGACACCATGCTTTCCTGTGCATATTCTCCATCTTCTCAAGTCCAAAGTAGATATTCTTTCTTTTGTTTTCTTTTTTATGTAAGGTAACAATGCTGTGTTCAAAAAAGCAACAATGTACGTTTATTAAAAAATAAATAAATAAATAAACAACAACATATTTTTACAATATTCCAAACATTTACATGTTCAAAGTGGTCACCCTACAGTTGCTATGCTCATTTTGTAAACTGTTGGTTTCTATTATTTCAGCATCAATTGCTGAACTCAGGTGAACTTGATCATCTATCCTTTTCTAAATAAAGTACCACACTGCTGTTGTACCAGAGTTGAGGATGGAAGACTAAGTAGCCTTGCAGTAGTTTTAGGACAACAGCTACATAATCATGAGTGAGAACCCTGCAGAACCCTCAAAATGGCTAAAAGCACATGCATTTGATCTGGATAAATGCAGGCAAATCTAAAAAAATTAAATATCGTGCAAAGTTTATTTATTTCAGTAAAAATTAAAATGTGTAAGTAATTCATGAGATGGAGTCATTACATGCAAAATGAGATAATTTAAGCATTTATTTGTTATTATTTTGATTGATTATGGCTTACAGCTTACGAAAACCCCAAATTCAAAATCTCAGACAATTAGATTATTGTAAATAAGTTTAATATTGTAGACTTAAAGTTTCAGACTCTGATCAGCTAACCTGCAAAGGGTTCCTGAGCCTTTAGAGCACAGGTGTCAAACTCAGGCCTTAGGGCCAAATTTGGCCGGCGGTCTACTTTTATTTGGCCCACAAGATCAAATATCAAATATATATATTAAAATTGGCCCACTGGCCAATTTAGCAGCAAAGACTACAAATCCCATAGTGCAGTAGATGGCAGTGGCATCCTGACCAATCACAAGCTTGCATTCTATGTTTCGACGGACGGATGTTAAGAAAAGAGAGCTCAACTCCGTCCATCTTTGTGAGGGCTCTCCAGCAGGCTCGCAAGGACAGATAATGGCGTTGCGTGCATCTGTCCCAACGCAGACAAAGACGTATAAATTAGGCTTGACTCAGCGCCAAGTTCACTCAGCAATTTGCCGACTTTTAAGCCCAGAAATGGAATTTTATGTTTATGTTTATTTATTTGGCAGATGCTTTTATCCAAAGAGACTTACAATTTATAACCTATAGGGCATGTTGTGATCTGTGGGGGAAACCGGAGTACCCGGAGGAAACCCACGCATGCGTGGGGAGAACAGGCAACTCCACACAGAAAGGCCACAGGTGAGTTTCGAACCTGCAACCTTCGTGCTGCGAGGCAACAATGCTAACAACTGTGCCACCATGCAGCTCAGTAATCTGTTTGCTGCTGACATAGAAAGCGCACCAACCATCTTCCAGACCGAGATGATTTACCTCCAGTTTAGCGACACGCTCAAGTCAGTGTGACTAGCTGCTGTAGTTTTTATCTTTCCTCCCAGACACAGTGACCCAGCTGTGTGGTTGAACTGCTCCAATGCTCTCTATGTTCAGCAGCTCAAACCTGTGTGAGCAACTGTTGTCTGTGATAAAGATGAACAAAACCACACAGGAGTCTCACTGATGAACTCTTTCCTCAACTCAGAGCCCAACCGTATACATGTGTCTAGCTGGAACAGGTGAGCATCACAGTAAATCAGAGTGGAGCAAACTGAGCTTGAATTATTTTGGTTGTATGCACTTTATCTGCACCAAAGCATGAATGTTAATAGGTGAGATATTGCGTTTTCTTTAAAGATAATTACTTTTTTGGGGTTTTTGCTGTTGGCCTGTGAAAAAAAGATTTACTCTACTTTAAAACAGGAACCGGAAAGACTACAGATATATGAATAGAATAGAAATAGGATAGAAAATCCCTAATCCCTAGTAAAACATAAGAATAAGGAGTAAACAAGATGAAAACATAAAATAGAAACACTTAAAAGATTCAAAGACTCAAAATATTAAGAAAAAAATATATATATACATGTATATATGGAATAATTAAAATAATTGATACATAATAAGTATAATAAGTTCAAATTAATTTGCTTGTGTTTAATTTGGTTATTCAACATTCAGTTTTACTGCAAGAATAAGTTTTCCAAATGGAAAGGTTCAGCTGTACATATGTGTAGATGAAGGAAAATGAGCACATTTGCTGTCAATTTTTGAAAAATATTGAGTTTGGCCCATGACTTCGTCCCAGTTTTTCATTTCGGCCCAGTGTGAATTTCAGTTTGACACCCCTGCTTTAGATGGTCTCTCAGCCTAAGTGAAATTACTGGAATAAATACAATTCTAATTTTTTCAAATTTCACATGTAAACTGACCAGCCACTTTTACCACAGAAAGATTAAACATTGGATAAAAAAGTTTTGGATGGAGTCATCTAGGAGTTCCCCTTACAGGCTGTCCCGGGAGAACTACCCAGGGCACTGCAGAATCAGCCTTCCTTCCTTGGACTAGTGCAGGCAGCGAGGGAGTGGCAGGGAGGAGATGATGAGATCTGTAGCACTATTTCTCAGAGGAACTGTGCCAGGGTTGAAACATCAGTTAAACTGTGACCTACTCCCATTGCTACAAGAGTTCATCTGGAGCACTGCCCATTCTCGCTCCTTCTCATCAAAACATTTCATCATGTCACTATTCCATCTCGCTCTTGTTTCTTCTGCGTCGTTATAAATTCACACCCTTTGAGTTATGTTCTTTTTCATCTCACCTAATGTTACAATTCATCATCCCATTAAAACGCGGAAACCTTCCATTACTTGTCCCCGCAGAGGGAATATGGAGGGATGAAAGAGTGAGACAAGAAGTGAAATGAGAGGATCAGAGCAGAGAGAAGTGGGATGACAGCAGGAGGACGTGATGAAGAGTTGTCGTCTCTTTAAGAGTTACGGTCACACTTTAACTGCAGGCAGAAGTTTAATAGACAGTTTGTGTTATTTGTGTGCAACCAGAGTAGAATCAAATCAAATGTTTCACTTAAAAGAAGTGGTATTCCTCCTTACACAGCGCGGTCTGATTTTGTTTAACAAAACAAGTTAATCTTAGGGATTGTTGCCGAGATTGAGCTAATATCTAAAAGTCATCACCCTCGTGTACTCCAAGTGCTGATCGATGATGTCAGATGTTTGTTTGACCTCATAAGACTCATCCTATGTTTAGATGGCCAGCAAATCCAACTAATGTTATAAAAATAAAAATGACTACAACTCAATCGGTTTTACAGATGTTGAGCAAAAATGTGGTGTTGTTGTAGGGCTGCACAATATATCGAAAAATTATCATCATCGGGATAACAGGACGTGCGATAGGCCCATCACAAAGCATGCCAAAAACGGCGATAAATGTTTGGGTCAAACATTTCCATTCGTGTCATACATCAGCTTTTTGTAAACCAGCTCCGATTTTTACGCGGAAGTATTATTTGACGCCTGCATTTGTATAATTCATGCCAAGCCAATTCAGTTTATTTCTATAGCACAAAATCACAACAAGGGTTCTTCACAAAGTAAATGTTTCAAATGAACCTACTTATCAG